CAGATCTACCAGTAGTGTTTCGTGTTCCTCCTGTCCTGATGTATATATCAGTATTATCTGCAAGTAGAGGGAGAGGCCTTGTTCTGTAATGTAGATCGTAATTAATCTTTTGTTTCATTGTGTATACTGTATCTGCCTCTCTGAAACCATTTAAGTCAGAACTTTGTGGTATGAGATTCTCTTGTAAAGAGGATAAACTATTTCTTAACTTGCGACCCATTAATAGCTCTGCTGGGGATACATTGTACCATGGTGAAGGGTTAATCTGTAATTGAGTAGAGCCATATGAACATGACTTGAGTCAGTTATCAATTGTTTCACTGTTCTCACTCCCCTCTCTGCAAGCCCATTTCTCTGAAGATAATAAGGGCTGATAGTGATATGGCTAAAGTTGTAGGAATGAGAGAAATCACAGAACTCTTGGGATGCATATTGTGGGCCATTGCCACTCACTACAGTTTCAGAAATTCCAAATTGTGAGAAAATTGATTTGAGTGCTGAGATAACTGCAGTTGAAGTTGTAATTTTACCCAACTTGATTAGTACTGGGTACCGAGAAAAATAGTCTACCACCAACAGATAGTTTATATTCTTGAAGATGAACAAATCTGTGGCCACATGTTGCCATGGATATGATGGTAGAGTAATTGTAAGGGTTCTCTTGCTGGAGGTGATTTCTTCATGCAGGTAACACATTGTTTCACTGTGTTCACAATGCTTTGTTGCATACCTGGCCACCAAACAGCAGCTTGAGCTCTTAAACAGCATCTCGAGATTCCCTGATGACCCTCATGAATCTTCTCTAGAGTCTTGCGATGTAATGATTTAGGAATAACTATTCTTTTCCCTAGGAGGAGTATCCCATCACATACTGACAGTTCTCCTTGCTTGTTCCAGTAAGGGACAGTTGTACTCTCGACCTCGTCTTTTGAGGGCCATCCATTCTGGCAGTAATTGATGACTGTTGAGCAGATTGAATCAGAATATTGCTCTTTGCGAATGTCTTCCAGTTTTGAACTGAAGACTGGTAAGGACTGCATGTCAGACATAATCAATTCTTCAAACTCCTGCTGCTGAGTATCATCTTGTAAAGGCAGTGGAGCTCAAGACAGTGTATCTGCAGTGCATAGTAGCTTTCCAGGGACATGTATAATAGAGTAGTCAAATCTTGTGAGACATAAACAAAATCTAAGAACTCTGGGTGGTAGTTGATCTAACTCTGTGTAGCCTAGTAGTGCTACCAGGGGTTTATGGTCAGTCTCAATTGTGAATTTCAATCCTAATATGTATTTAGAAAATTTTTTGCAAGCCCATGTTGAAGCCAAAGCTTCTTTCTCGATTTGAGCATAGCGAGTCATAGCATCAGATAATGATCTAGAGGCGAATGCGACTGGCTTCCAGACCTCATCATGTTTCTGAAGGAGTACCACTCCTAGTCCTAGCATAGACGCATCTGCAGAGACCTTAGTTTCAGCTTTTGGATTGTAATGTGCTACACTTGTAGGCTTAAATAGCTCTTCCTTTACAGCAACAAATCCTTGTTCTTGAGCTTCACCCCATGACCAGCTGTTTTTAGTACTGAGTAATATCCTCAAGGAATGTGTGAGATCTGACAGTTTCATGGAGAATTTCCCTAACTGGTCCACCATTCCCATGAAACGTCGTAATTCAGTGATACTAGTTAGTGGTTCCATTCTACTTATCGCCTCGGTCTTCTCTGGGTCAGCATGAATCCCCTCTTTATTAATAGTATGACCTAAAAACGAAATTTTATCTTTACCAAACTCACATTTATCCTTGTTGAGAGTGACTCCAGCTGTTCTGATTTGTTCTAACGATCTCATCAGTCTCGAATCATGCTCCCTTTGGTTACTTCCAAGGACCACTACTGTGCGGCACTACACCATCCATGAGACAGATTACCCCATTGAGACCAGAGAGTATATGACTCATTTTTTTCTGGAAGTAGAGATTCCGAATGGCAGTTTGTTAAAACAATATCTACCAAACTGTGTTATGAACGTTGTCAGTAGACGTGATTCTTCTGAGAGAGGCATTTGCCAGAATCCTCTATTAGCATCGAGTTTTGTAAAAACCTTGGCTCCTGATAGCTGTGTTAGGGCGTCATCAATTTCAGGTAGTGGGAATACCTCTCAGAGTACACTCTCATTGAGGCGTTTGAGGTCCACACAAATTCAAACCTTCCCATTTCTTTTTGGGACTGGTACCATGCCAGCACACTATAATGTAGGTTCCTCCACTTTTGACATTACTCCCACTGATCCATTGAGTTGAGTTCCTCCCTTACCATGTCTCGTAATGGTAATGGGATCTTCCTAGCTGTGAACAATGAGTCCTCTTTAGCATCTGACTGTAGCTTGATTGTGTAAGGTTCTCCCAGGTTACCTAGTCCCTTAAAAAGAGTAGGAAAGTTATAGTGGATTGTATTTCTGAGATCACAGTCTTCTCCAATCATATATATATTAAGACTGGCTAGCTTTAGAGTGATTGCGGGGAGACCCAAAAGGTTAGCCCTAAGGGATTTGACATAATAAATGTTTTGCCTACTGTTGTAGTTCTTGTAGGAAAGTTTTCCCAAGAAGTGTGCTAATACCGGAAGTAGTTGACCAGCAGGACCTATGAGTGACTTCTGTGAAGGGATTAGAACTATAGATTTATTGTTGAAGCCTTTAAAAGTGTCTTGAGAGATAGCAGTGGCTTCTGTTCCAGTGTCCACTTTCAATGCAATTTGCTTTTCTTCTAATTGAATAGTTGCCTGCCATGTCATTCCATTGCTTTTTGAAATCAGAGTGTCCAAAAATAGACTATTGAGATTCTGCTCACTGACATCTGACATTTCTCTTTTAGGAGCATCTCTGCGATAGAAGCATTGTTGGCTTACAGTGTCCTTCCTTGTGACAATTGTGACAGGTCGCATCCTTTGCTGGACATTTTTGCTGTCCTTTGTGAGCTTCTCTATCGCACCGCGCACAATTTCTTATGTGGCCCTGGGCCTGTCATTCTTGCAATCTTCCTCCAGTTTTGGGCTTGCTAAGTTTGTTTCTTCTCTTGGCAGACATCAAGTCAAGCCCTGGTTTACTATCAGTGAGGTCCTGAGATTGATCTTTTACAGCCTCCTGCATGCTGGCAAACCATCTTCTTGGCTTTCTCTAGGTCCAGAGTCGCATCCAACTGCATACACTCTGACAGCAGCTGGTCTTGTATTCCAACAACAAGCCTGTCTCTTATCATCTCATCTCTAAAGCCCTGATAGTTGCAGTTGCCTGCCAACCGATAGAGCTCCATTATGAGCTGCTCCGCGTAGTTTCCCCTTCCATCTGGGAGCGACGGTTGAATCTAGCTCTTTTGTAGATTGCATTGCGTCGAACTTGAAAAAACTCGTTGAATTTTTGAAGGACTGTTGCATAGACCGTTTTGTCACCGACTGAAATGTTTGTGGGGTCCAGGACTAATTCTGCCTCCTCTCCCATACAGTATAGTAGGGTATTAGTCTGCTTCTCCTCTGAGTCCTTATCCTGACCAGAGGCTACCTGGAACTGTTTGAACCTAGCGAGGCCAATCATCAGGAGTAAAGGGATCTGGAGCTGGAAGTCAGATTTCAGCCATAGCTTAGGTCGTCACCTGTGCTGCCACCATGTAGTATTGTAATCAATGATCATTCAATAATAATACGTAGTGGCTATTTTTACGGTCCCGTAATCTCATTGTATATAGCTATTTTTACGGCAGGAAATATAGAAATGAAGTGACGTATAAAGATGACAATCAGCATCAATAAGGCAGCAGGATCGTGGTGGTACAGTGGGGAAGGCGCTGGGTTGGATACGGACGAGCACTGGTTCGAATTCAGCTCAGACCATTTCTTTTTTTATTTTTTATAATTTTGACTTTAACAAATTGATTTTTTTTATCTTTCTACTTCGCTATGTTCCCTAATTATGTTAGGAGCCCTAGTTATGTTAGGAGTCCCCTACTTAGCTATTGTTTTTAGGGTTTAGGGGTTAGGGTTGCGGTTTTTTTTAGAGCATCCCCAGTCATTTTATGAGCCCCCTAGTTATGTTAGGAGTCCCCAAGGTTGGTTTAGGGTTTAGTTTTTTATTTTAGAGTGTTTCCCAGGTTTAAAAATGAGTAAATCCATAGATAAATCATCCTGCCGTAAAAATAGCCACCCACGGTCGGATTACGGGCCCGTAAAAATAGCCATTGCCATAATAATAATATTAACAACTCTTACACAACCTATTTATATCATGTATATGTATGATGTAATCATGAGTAGTGTGATGTTATATAGTCATCAAGGTGTCAAATATTAATAAGGTGTGTGTATGTACAATGTATGAGAGTATGAGTTATTTAATATGTTCATACTACACAATTGTAATAACATTCCTATGCACTGCTAATTGACATGCAATACAAAAACTCAAACTACAAGTGTGTATCACAACATTGTAACAACAAACTTACATGTTTCAAGTTTTGCTACTCAATGAACATCAATTGGCAAGGGCTAAATATTTTTCTCTGCTAAAAGTTTACTTTATACAGGTATGAGATTATAGGCAAAGCTATAGTGGTGATATAGGTACAGTTACACTGTATCAGACCCTAGCATTATCACAATTACTGTACTGGGGTCAAAACAATAAGATGTTTGCCAGGGATCTCATAAAAGTCATTAGGATTTTTACATGTAGATAGGCCTCACTCTGTATTAAGCATGGCAATTCATGCCGCAATGGGTTTGACGATTCAAAAATTAATGTAATTAATTCATGAATACGATTAAACAATCATCTACATGTACATTACTATTATATTCTTTGCATGACCGCAAAATGAAAGTGCCAATGGTACGATGCAGTATTTATACAGTAACCAAATTATCAATTCCAATGTCAGGCAAATGTATTTAACTCAGTAGAATCATTATACAATGACACACACCAAGCAACTAACAAGCAATATCTACTTACCTATGACTGAGCTGCCTAATGCAAAGATGATGACAGGAGCCTGCCTCTGAGCTGTGTGAGTGTCACTACATCAGGAGCTTGTTGCAGCAGATATATTTGCATGCCTTAATAACCATTCGCACTGCCTACTTTTTCTATTGATAACAAGCCTCCACAATAGCTTAGACAAATTCCAGGAATACTCAACCTATTTCCGGACAACTGGCTGGTTAATACATGAGAACCGGGTGGCCCGCGGACATCCATAGATAAAGCATATATGTAGATATTATATATAAGCAAAAATATTATAGCCTATAACAGTATACGTATTTCTACCATGCTTGTTTTAAATTGACCAATCAGATTGCATTATACGAGGTGTCTAAATCACTTATAATACCCCGGGACATTATTTAGAAGCCTTCGGGAAATTATTTAGATACCTCTTCCAAAGTTTGGGAAACTTTAGTAATGAATAAGTAAAGGTTATACAAGGAGGTGGAGGTATCTATGGCATTCATCATAACAAGGGCCAGGCAGAAGTATGATAAGGCCATAGATACTGACACAGAGTTGTATAACCAACCTATACCATGTACTAAAATAAACAAGTAGTTTACTTAGCAACAGTTAGCAACAGCAATACATTTTTTAAACAGGAAGTGAATAAGTAATTTCCCTGGGCTACTTATTTGACCTCCAACTGTCCGGGAAATTACTTATTCACCTCAAGCTACTCATTCAACCTCCCGGGCTACTTATTCAACCTTCTGGAAAACTTGCTGGTAGGTAAGTTATTTATGAACCTGAAATTGAGCAATCTGATTGGTCAATTACAACTAGGCCTGGTAGAAGTATACGTTATACACAGAGGTCGAGGTTTCTATGTGATTTATTGACCAAGGGACGCAGTCCTGAGGTCAATCAATGCCATAAAAACTGAGACCGAGGTGCATACTGAACCGTGTTTTACCATGCGTCCAATCAGATTAGATGTATTTCTTGTATCAAAAAGTATAAAAATCCTTACCATTAGCAACCAATTCATTTTTAGTCACGCATTAGAATGAAAAAGCAATAAGACATGCTCGTCTGTTCTCAAAAGATGCGACTAACACAGCCGCCATTGATAGCTCTGGGAACACCTATTTCTCATCATAATATGACTGCCCCGCCTACTTCATTAGTGCCATCACCCCAGCGATCTTGTTTTGCAAAGGCCCATATCGGACGAAGATTTAAATGATGCACAAGAGCACTGTGAGCCATGCACAACTAAAAAAAGTAATATATGGGCAGAAAATATATGGAATGACTGGTGCAAGGAAAGAATGAATAGATTTGGAGATGCCACCCTTCCTAATGGAGAACAGGCAAGTTCTCAATGATTGGATGTCTAAGTTTATCTTGGAAATACGCAGAATGGATGGCAAGCAATATCCACCAAATACATTGTGTATGCAATTACATGTGGAATTTTGTGTAACATTAGGAAAGATTGTCCAGATATCAACTTCATCAAAGATCACGAGTTTGATGGCTTCAGGAAGACATTGCATTTCGAAATGAAGAGATTAAAATCTGCTGAAATGGCAGGAACAGTTAAACAAGTCGACCCAATATCATTTCAAGAAGAAGAGCTTATGTCTAAATGGATATTAGGAAGCAGCTCTCCTCAAGTACTATTGGATACTGTCATTTATATGTGTGGGCTATACTTTGCCTTATGAAGTGGGCAGGAGCATCGAGAACTACAATTCGTTCAAATAACTGTCGAAACAGCATCTAACGGTAAAAAATGCATCATTTATGGAGAAAATTCATCGAAGAATAATCCAGGAGGATTGAAGCATAGAAAAATTGAGCCAAAAACAGTTCAACATTTTGAAAATAGAACTAACCCATCTCGTTGTTTTGTGCCATTACTACTAGTAAAGTGCATCAGTCATTGTCCACCCATTGATGAAAGAAAAAGGAGATGTTTCTACTTGACAGCACTAAGAAAACCAAAAAGTAATATATGGTACTCCAATGTTCCTGTTGGGCATAAAACAATATCAAATACTGTTAAAAGAATGTTTGCTGCAGCAGGAATTGATGGTTACAAAACAAACCACTCACTTCGCATGACTGCTGCTACTAGACTATTTCAAACAGGTGCTGATGAACAAGTAATCATGAAAAGAACAGGTCACAGAAGCACGGATGGTGTACTAATTCATAAGCGTACTTGAGATCAACAAAATGAGGACGTTTTAACAATATTACAAACAAAAACAGCAGTCGTTAATGATGATACCAATTCACTTCATTCTCCGAAACGTCAAAAAGTATCTCTAGATAAAGAAAGGCACTTCAGTTTCAATAACTACACAAACATATATATACATATAACAATTCAAAAATAACAATGCTAATAATATTATTGTCAATTTCTACCATGCCTAGTTGTAATTGACCAATCAGATTGCTCAATTTCAGGTTCATGAATAACTTACCTACCAACAAGTTTCCCGGGAGGTTGAATATGTGGCCCGTAAGTAGTTTAAGGAGAATAAGTAATTTCCCAGACAGTCGGAGGTCAAATAAGTAGCCCGGGAATTTACTTATTCACCTCCTGTTTAAAAAATGCATTGCTTTTGCTAACTGTTGCTAAGTAAACTAGTTGTTTATTTCAGTACATGGTAGAAGTGAAGTTGAGACTTTCTCTACTTCATGCAACATGTTGCCCAACCACATCAAAGGTTTGACCACAAGTTGCAAGCAACAATGCTGCATACCATAAATCTTTTAAAAATTCAACACTCTAACTTTGTCAAATTAAATAATTTTTTCAAATTTTCACAAAATTACCTCTAATTATTCGATTATGCAAAATTACTGGCTGAGTATTCTAATTTCGACATAATCCTCTTATTTCAGCTCATGATTGACCACTTGCTTTAGTCTACCTTACCAAGCAGCTGAGACTTTGGAATGACCCTCCCTCCAATTTAGTCAATAAAAATTATTTAAAAGTAAAAGAACATTTTTAACCTCTAATTTTTCAATATTACTGATTTTAAGGTAAATTTAATTTGCCAAATTTTTAGAAGATTTATGGTAGTGGATGCCCACTTTTACTTTTTCTCAATTCAATCCTACTATTTTCCCATTTTTAATGTTTTTTATTTACTTGTTTGCATTCTTTTTTTGTATCGTGATAAATTACATTCTGTTATGATTGTGTGGTTAGGTTAATTATATTCAGGGGCGTAGCTGAGGTAGAGTCTGAGGGGGCCTGGGCCCTACCATCAAAGTGGCCTTATAATTATATTCATTGAAATTATAACCCAAAAGATTATATTCATTGTTCTTACAATAACAAAAGGGGGTGGCTGATAACCACAGCTCTTTTTAAAGCTATATACAATGATAATTTCACTCTGATTTCGCTCAGCTTGCAGGAAAATGCTTCCATTTTGTTACATAAAAGGGGTGTGGCCAAAATTGCGGCGCGATTCGCGCGCCATTTTGTCTCCTTGCCCTACCATCACCCAAGGTCCAGCTACGCCCCTGATTATATTCACACTGATCACATGCACATAAGTGAAAATGGCATCAAACTGTAGTGAGTCTAGTCTATTGGACTATTGTTCCTTATTTTATAGTTATTACTACTACTACAATTATTATTATTATTATTATTATTATTATTGACCTTTAATAACTATTGCACGCATGCTCTATTTTGTTTTTGTTTTTCTTTTGGAAAGAACACATGTTAACACTCTCTCTCTGATTTCCTATCTCCCTTTTTCTCCCTCTCGTTTGTTGTATGAGTATTATCGCTTGTAATCACTTCAACCGATTAAATACAACGGTGATAAATAGTATATCCAACATTGGTGACCCGGTATATTGGACATCATGTCTTGAGATTCTTCTCCTGCTCGCGTTGCAGCCATCTCGATGAAGCTACCTCCCTTTTGGCCCGCGGATCCCGAACATTGGTTCGCGCAAGTTGACGCACAGTTTACTACTAGAGGAGTGAGCTTACAGAAGACGAAATTTGATTATGTGGTAACCTCCTTGTCGCCGGAGTTTGCGACAGAGATACAAGATTTAATTATGAA